CCATTTTTACTGATGTATGGAAGAATTCCATAGCTGCTAATGGATCTCAACGTTTGCATTTGACCGTGAAATGATTTATCTCCTCAATAGCTTCAACAAACAAAATGTGAAACCCGGGAAATAAGATGCAGGAGTACACAATGCGCAAGTCTAGGTAGGATACAACTAGACAGACGGCCAGCGGGCTTCCGATTAGATCTAAAGTAAAGTATAAGCGGCATATTGGGGATTCACCTGCGGTCCTGGACCGAGGAAGTTACTTCCCGGATGAAAAGGTTATTATCGCATAATTGAAGAACGCCATCTCGTGCACAAAGTATATAACGGATGAACGAAGTCCGTCATGTATATCGGAATAATCTCGCAATATGGCACTAGGAAGTGTAGAACACACGACGTAAACCAACGAAAGAAACTCCAGAATCCCATTACACAAAGTCCAGCACGACGCTGCTCGACGTTGCAAGCCGGAGGCAAACGCGATCACAATCCTAGAAAAAATTGTCTATTAGTCGAGACATGCTTAGATTCTTTTCGCCGGGGGAGTATTGAGATAACACTCACTTGTGAGTAGTTTACAAAAAGAGACGATAAGCAGTTTCTTTCAACGGTCAAAAATGAACAAGACCCATTGAAATGAATTGCTACTGTTTAGTATGGCAAATAAAAGAATGCATCTACCGATGAACCGTTCGATCAACTATCCTGTGCGCGTGTGGAAGTTCTGAAGATGCGTTCCAAATGCGTCATTTTGTTGTATGAATGACCATTTACCGATACCCTAACTGTTATTCGTAATAAATAACCTTCCTCGACCGAGCATCGCTTTCTGGAATTCTAACAAAGTAAATTCTTGGGCTTGTTATTTCGGTTCCCCACCAAAAGATTTATGAGTTTGGTAAAAAGATTCCCTGAAATCAATCATTGAACAAGCAATTGGTGTTGATTGATCACAACCGACCAACAGCAAGAACCCAGATTCGATCGGATCTGAATGCACACATACATACACAGGGAGAGAGAGAGAACAAACTCACCGCATCGAACTCGAATTCGCCCAAGGTCATCACGGACGTTTTAATCAATGAGTTGCCCAAACTGTTGAACGAGACCTGGTTGGATAGGAGAATGTGAAACCCGAAAGCAAAAGCAAAAATGAAGAGAAAAAATACGGAAAAAAATTTGGCGAATGTTCGAACGATCACGGTGAACATGAGCACAAACATGCCGAGAGTTGGGACTCGTCGTAGGAATAGGAGTAGATTGAGCCAGGCCAGAAATACTCCCAGCGCTCCGCATTGCCATTGCCAGGCCTGTAACAGAGAACAGTTCAGTCAACATTGAATGCAGCAACTGATCACGACGCAAATGATGATGTGCGTGTGTGTGTTGGTCAAATTGTCATTCAAGATGCATCAGAAATAATTGTCTAACCACCCAGTAATGAATGCTCTGTCTGTGATCGTTCTTCAACAGGGTAGCCGTTTTAAAGCTGTTCATCCGCCAGTTTACAAATTTCGATTATAAATGAATAAGGATTCCGCAGTGTCTAAGGATTTTTGTTACGCACGAAGTATGCGGACGGTCAGTACCGGAAAGAGAAGACTGATGATCAAAAACGGAGTAAACCAACGGCTGATGTCAAGGTCACGTGAACTGGCCTGTCAACCCTCCGGAACCAATCAAAAGAGTCAAGACAGTTTGAACAGCTAAAATCCCGTGGATTGCTTCTCTGATTGGTGAAACATGTTGTCTGTCGTTCAGCCCAGTCGGCCCAACCTTGATTCTCACGTGTAAGATCCCAAGTACCAATGGAGACACAAAAGCTAAACATAAAAGTCGATCCCAGAGTTTATTTGGGATGAAATACTTTCCTACACCTGACCTGTTAACCGCGATTGAAGCGGATAAATTGAACAGGCGCTTTGGACGGCAGGAAAATTCGAATCACATCGATAACACGCAGTCTAGCAGAAATTTCGAATAAAACTGTTTTCTCATAATTCGTCACCGTTTTAAATCAAGTGACGTAAATCACTAACGTAGGAAAGCACACACTAAAAGTACAGGAATACAGAACATACCACTTTCAATCCGTACTTGATCAGACACGTGTTTGCATCCACCACGGTTGAAATGGCCAACAGAAATATGGCAAATTCGATACAATTTTCCACAGAAAAATAACGATCGCCCATAAATGCAAGTTGAAATAACTGGATGGAGTGACAAAAGGGAAAACAAAAACAATTGAATTTTACTACACACATTGCGTTTGGAATTTTATTTATGAAATTGGGCTTGGTCCATGCAAAACGTTGAGTTCACAAATGAAATCACTGCATCAGTATATTCACTGTTAGATTCACTACTTCATTGTATCAGTCTTGAGGCCATTTTAGGAATATACCGTGAAACATTTTCCCCTCTAGGACTGTTCATAAATAAGTGGTGAACATGGTGATTGGCGCACACTAAAAGAAAGTGTTATTATTATTATTATTATTATCATAACTTCTGTACAATCGACTATTTTCCATACAACTGAAATGCCTCTGCCAGTAACATGTATGTGATCGACTGCGTTTTCTTTGGGGTACTTTTACAATCCTGTATCAATTATACTCTTTTCTCCTACTGTACATAAATCATCCTTCTGAAATGACCAAACACACTCCCAAGTACGCGTGTGAATAAATGACACACCCTTCACCACAGATTCTGACTGCATCACATAGACGGAATTCGGGTATCGTGCGCAGAACTTGACGGAAATCGGGCACAGAACAGACCTTGTGGAAGCATTCTCCGCTTCAATAGACACGTTGAAATCTACTCACCCACAGCTGTCAGCACTCGTGAATTGATTCATATACAGTGTGATGTGACATAATCAATATCTCCACAACTGTCAGCATTCGAACACCATTCCAGCCGTACTCACTCTCCCTCTCCCTCCATTGCGTTGAGAACTCATTTGGTCTTCATAGTATTTAGTGCATTTTGGTGACACATTGATACGAGCAAATCTGTTCTATGTCAGCTCCCGTGCTCCCTTCCCCCCACCCCCGTCTATACACATTCCGCATCCAGTTTATGTCTCACTGTGCCGAACCGATTACTCTAGTTTGTGAAATCCCGTTTTCTTTTTTTTTTTATATCAACATCGCTTAGTTCTGTTCGCTCCCTTTTACCCCGTACCTATTGCCCGAATCTTAATCCGTATTATCAACACAATACCCCGGAGACTGAGTGGCTCTGTTTGGTCTGTTTGCCCCCTTCGAATACTCTGTTCCCCTGATGTTTCTTATTCTATGGTCTAACGGTGCTTGACAAATGGCCCAACTAGCTATCCCGTGCCATTTTGATTTACGCTGTCTGCTTTCTAAGCTGGATTGTTCATAACTTGAGGTACATATTGCCTGTAGTACACACACAGATTACCCAACTCGTGTTCTATTTGCCTGGAAAAGGGGGTTCGACTTCTGCGCGTCAGTCTAGCACTGGACGTTAATCCAGGGTACAATAAACCCCAAAATGGATTTGTATGTCGATTGTAAAAAGTTCAGTAGCCTCGGTCACTGCTCTGCACAAACCTGAAGGATAAGCTGTCCATTCTCTCCTCGTCTATGATTACATACTCCTTCACTTGCACATGTTTGGCAAGTTATGTAAGACGAACGATGAGACAGTTCTCACAAAGGAACCGGCTTCGCTTAGCACGGTTTGCAGGAAAACAATAACCAGCGTGATTGTGGCCCACTTCGTCACCTCGAGCACCAACCGGAAAAGCATGAATGTCAATTCATTCACAAAGTGATCCGAAACAAGTCGAAGTACGTTCGGAAACGTCATTTGGCAACAATCAAAATCATGAACCCATCACTGTGCAAACAGAAGAAAATGGTTGCCGCACTTCAGTTGCCTTGGCCCCAATCGAATCAACTTGACGATCCGAACCATGACCTCAGTCATATCGTGATGACGCAACATGGCGTGAAAAGTTGTATGTGAAAAAGATCACCGGAAATTTCCAGAATTGACCTTGGTCCCCCCCCCCATCATCTTGGTCTGTTTGGAATCAGGGATTTTAGCCAAATCTCCCGAGGGGAACGTCTGATGTTTCACCGACTCGGTTAAAGCCCAGGACAAATGGGTTTTCTTTCTTTTTCACTTTTTCTCTTTTTATTTATTATTTATTATTTATTATTATTTATTTTTTTATTGAATGCACAAATAGACGATTTTCAGGATCGGGGAGGTGGCCAACATAGGGGCTGCCATTCAACAAACAAATGGAGAAAGTCAAGCGGCGGCGGTGTTGGGTGATAATTTGATAACATTACCATTAGATAATAGCTTTTCGTTGAATCACTTTGGTGGGAAAACACCTGCGCAGTGAGTAGGGCTCCATTCATCAGAGGTTTGTTGAGATGTTTGGAGCGAGGTGCAGGGGAAGATTGACCAGGCAAAACCCCAGACCACTTAGTATGACAGATCTGTTTGAATTTCCGGGTTGAAGTTAAACAGTTGTTAATGAAAGAATGCATATGTCGATTTCTAAAAATCACACACACAAACACACACACACATAGGAGTGGAACGATTCACAAGATATGTTGAATGATGAGAAATAAGGGATGAGCATTAACCCACATATTGATCATACTCACTTCTTTTGCCAGATTGAGGATACCGAACGAGAGCACAACGTACTTTGAGAACGCAATTGCATGCAAAACAGACTGTGCTGTCGAGATGAGCTTGCCCCCAGTGCAAGCCTCACTCAAAGACATATTCGCGTAACTGGTACTGAGGAACAAGGGAATATGAATTCGAGGGGGGGGGGGNCATAACCAGATTTCCTCATGGTGAACAAATTATTTGGAGATCTTTAGATTATCATTCCGGGCATCGAAGTAAGATTTCAACTTCGAATTTCGTTCGAATAAGGTGATAGAATTGTAGTAATTGAAGTAGGTATGGATTACGCATCACGAATCACGGTCCTTACTAAAGCAAAGAGCCGCACTACCAATGGCACGCTGGAATCTCCCGTCATCGAGATGTAGGAAAAAGGTCACAGAAGTGGTAGTATATTTATTGAAATAAACCCATGAGATTAAATGATAGGCAAACAGAAATATCATTGATCTGGCGAATATCAACCAACCACCGTTCTCAATCTTCGAGTCACACGTCTTCTGTTTGAACTGCGTGGCTGTTTAATGATCGATACTGTTGGTTAATGGCCCAAGGTCCGGAAACTGGAAAGCGTGTGCGTTTGACAGGCGTCATCTCGGAGGGCTAACTCACCACAAAGATATTTTATTGTACATCTGCCCAGCAATTGTAATCTATAACGTGCTCGGATTATCCCACTCTTCACTGCCAGTGTTTGAGCACTGCATTGTTGGTATGATTAATAAATTAAACAAAGAAATGAAAAAATGCTTAGATTTGTTTCACACATTTAGCTATTATTTTCAGTTGCGCATACAGAATCGCACGGATGTCACCATAAAGTATGGTCCATCTAATGAATACACGCAATCCTAAACAGAACGAACACAANTTTCTACTTGGTCTTCCGCCTCCAGTGGGGTCCCGCAAGGCTCTGTCCTTGGTCCATTCCTCTCCTGGCTTATTATATCAATGACCTGCTCATTCAGCTGCGGAGCCAATCCCTCATGTATGCGGATGACATCAAAATCTGGTGTACAATTGAAGGTAAAGAAGATTGGAGTACTCTATAAGAAGATCAGAGCACATTGACTCAGTGAGCGGATACCTGGACACTTACAATTAACATCGCAAAGTGTGCTTACCTGCGTCTGGGGCGCGCTGATCCAGAGGGTGTTTACAGTTTCCATAGGTCCACAATGAGCAGAACATCATGCCAAAGAGACCTGAGAGTTATGGTGAAGTCATCACTGAAAGCCCGAGAAAATACTGATAGAGTCTGTGCCAATGTGTGGTGCATTCTGGGACCTATTCGGAGATCTTTTAGTCGGCTTAAGATGGACGCTTTCAGACTGCTGTACGCTTCTCATGTCAGACCAAGATTTGAGTATGGTGATGCGGCGACATACCCCTTCACGGCCGGTGAACTGGCTAAGTTGGGGCGTGTACAACGTGCAGCGACTAGACTCGTTGTTAAAGTACTTGGGACCAGCTATGAAAGTCATCTACAGGTTATTGATCAGCTACCAGTTGCGTATCAGCGCCTCAGGGGAGATCTGATCTGTTTCAGAAAGATACTAAGAGGTGATATGGGCTCGGAGCATTTTCCTTTACGGACAAAGGAACTCATGCGGGACACTCTTATGTTGCGTAAACTTCAGTCGGTTGGTCTTCTGCTAGTCTACCGACTCTCGCGGCGGTCAACAACGATCTGAAATTTATTCACAGCGACTGTGATGAAAGAGACGACGGACGCTGCTTTCAAACGGCGTCTAAATATGCACCTTAAGGGGCTCCGGAGGAACGAACGCCTGATCGAACCTTCGACCCACTGGTGACGGGGTATCCTGCTCTCTGCTGTTAATACTGAAGACTGAGTGCAGTTGGTTGTACTGAGCACTACTCAACGCAGTTTTGTAACGTGAATTGGCCAATAACTCTTAGATACAGGTTATTCCAGTTAGGCAAAGAGAAAAACATCCAATTTACAAACAAACAAAAAAAGCCAGATTATTCATCATTAAGACCAAAATGATTCGAAGCAAATCGCATCATCCAACTCACTTTTGTTGATGAACTAGATCAGCGGATTTCGCCAACAGCATGTAGGCAGAAAAGAATGCCAAAAACACCAAATAGATGAGTAAATTCAAATAATACACCAAACCGGATCGTAACCACTTTCGTTTGATCAACATCTCGACCAATTTGTGTTCCAACAAATGTGCACGTTTATACTTGACCTGAGAACATGGTTACAATCACCAGGTGGGGTGGGATCGGGGGGGGGAGGGGGCGGAAGATGAATAAACGATGAAATTGAGATTCTAAAACACATAATGAATAAGAGCAGGGCGAAAAAAAAGGATCAGAACACTCAAAACGAAGACATTTATTTTGTCCATCTTCCAAGAGGTATTGTAACGTGACAAAATTCACGAATAAAGTGAGAATATTCACTTCCCTTACCCTTACTGCTGAAAAGATTTCAATATTCAATATCAATAGTACAATTAGGTATAGTATCACAGTATTTGCTCGGCAATTAAAACCACCGGCCAATGATGAAAAATTTACAGTACATATGATACGAGCCCTTTCTATTTATATCACCTAACTCGGCCGTGTTTGAACATTTGACCGCGGATAACTCATACTCACAAATACGTAAGAGTTGAGAGCGGGAGAGAGAGAGACCATGTTGCATAAGCTATTCAGAGAGACATCGATTTCTGGATCAGAAATGGGAATAGAGTGAGGGGAAATAAGCAAATACCGTCTAACGATCAATTCACACACACACACACACACACACACACACACACTGAACGCCGAGTCGTGTTCGTGAGCGAATAACAACCAGGCCAATGATCACCAGCTGGGAAACTGA